TACCCACACACACACCCTTCGGGGGGGTTGGCCTTCCGGGAAAATTTCTCGCGTTCGCGCCCGATTGTTGTGCGGGGGGGGGGGGCGTGGAGAAGAAACGACCCCGCGTGTACAGAACAGTCCTGCCGTTTAAGAAATATTTCCAGAAACGGAAACTAGTATTTCACGTAAATACAGAATATAGGGCAAATAAACACCACCACTCAGAGGTGGTCCTAGACTAAACTCCGCAAAACGGCAGTGGCGATGAAACATGTTAGTGCACTGCCGCCCTCAGCGGTCTGTGGTGTTTAGACTGGGGACTATGTTATCCCAGGAACAGTGTATTATTGTATATATCCGTCACGCAAGCCCCTCAGGCAAGCTGGTATTCGACACGCAAGCCCCTCAGGCAAGTGAGCTCGTGGGCTCTTTCTCTCTCCAGCACCAGGGGTCTTCTCCTACCCCCCATACACTTCATACCCATTCACGTGCCCCCCATCAGGCGCATACGACGCATGTAGATCGGAAACACATCCAAAGTACCACAAACAGCCCCCCTACTTGATATGCCGTAGGATCTCCCAACCAATACAAAAACGCAAATGACCACTTGAGAAACATCCTCTACAAAAACTGATCACGCATTTAACACAAAGCGTCTCCATCAGTCTATTCACGAATGAATCCAATGCATTCGTCCCTAGACATTATCTCAAACCGTTGACACAAAAGAATCATCCTCGGAAAAAACACCCATCAATTATTCGTGTTACATCAGAAAAATCGTTGGAACGAAACAAACATTTTCTGGAAAAATAGCTTCAAGAGCGTTGAATACCAAATCCTCAAACAAAACAAAAACTCAATTTCTTGACCAATCAAAACGAGAATTCGGAAAGCACATTGGCCCCAACCATTAATCGTCAAAAATACGTCAAACCCTTCCTCCAGGATAATGTCCAAGGACCAATCCCTAAACAGCGCGCAACCGCAAATCGATGCCATCGCTGTTGTCCAAGAAACGATAGAAAACAAGGCAAAAAAAAACATCCACCCATGCATACAGTCCCCCTGCTGTGACATCCCAAGAAACTATCCTCCCAACGTTATATCTTCACGTGAACAGCCCCCCTGCTGAGACATGTCCAAAAACATAGGAGAAACAACAAAAATATCAATTGATGTGCATGCACTCTGTAATCATAGTCACACATGACATTCCCCCCCATGATTGCAGATGCAGAGACAGCAAGAAGAGACAAACGCCGCTGCAAAGAAACCAACAACAAAAAACCAAAAACAACGCAGAAAAAAATATATCGTGTTGGTGCACTGCCGCCCTCAGCGGTCTGTGGTGTTGAGACTGGGGACTATGTTATCCCAGGAACAGCTGATAAAAAAGGACCATGTATTATTGTATATATCCGTCACGAAAGCCCCCCAGGCAAGCTGGTATTCGACACGCAAGCCCCTCAGGCAAGTGATCTCGTGGGCTCTTTCTCTCTCCAGCACCAGGGGTCTTCTCCTACCCCCCATACACTTCATACCCATTCACGTGCCCCCCATCAGGAGCATACAACGCATGTAGATCGGACACACATCCAAAGCACCACAAACAAAACAAGAAATTGAGCCTCGACCTGATTTTTCTGTCTCTTTTCTCTTGGCCCGTTCTGTACAACATCTGCAACGTTTAGCATGTGGTACACGATACGATGGTTCTCAGAAAAATCATGGGGAGTTTTCATATCCCTTCTGGTGTGCCTTTAAAGCGGGTACGACCGCATGTAATGAAGAACTATTTTTATCGTTATAAAATTGGGGCTTGTATGATAGTCATAGACTTGTACACTCCGATTCTCAGACCGATTGTTGCGCGCAACGGCTTGCCCTGTTTCAGCCTCCGACTCTTTGCTTTTGCGGATCCCTCCTCCGCTTCCGTATTTGCATCTCACTCTGCTTTCAGTTGTGGGAGACATCGAGCTTGGTGATTTGCTATGTGACAGCCTTGAGGATGCTTCAGACTCTAGCCTGCTGCGATTCACGATCAGCTCTACGGAGGTGAGGTCCGGGGGAGAAGCACCCGCCGGTTGTTGGCAGATGATGACCTCGAGCAGCAGGTGTTGTGCCTTGCCCAGCTACTGGTGATGTGAGAAGGAGGAATGGTGACACAGTGAAGGGGACAAGCCTTTCTGATGCGCCGCAGGACCCAACTGTCTTAACACCGAACAATGCGGCAGAGCATGGTTAACGGCCTTGCTCATAGCACTCAAACGTTCTTCATACCCTAGCTGGTGCCACACGACCTGCAGCCTTCCACGCAATACGTCATTGGGCGTTTAGGCAGGGGAACGCCGCAGACACTCTTGTCGAATCACCGAAACTGTTGCCGAATGCTTCGCCTGTCAACCGTTGCAAAATCGATACATTGGTGACAGACGGTGGTAGCTGAGCGCACCTCCTACTCGTCCATCGACGGCAAGCTTCTGCCGGACGGAAACACGCGCAAGGTGGGTCCACCAAACATTGCGGGGGGTGTACTCGTGTAAAACGCATACCGTAGTCTTGAGGCCATTGACTTCGCTCCAATACCGGGACGGGGCGATATACCGGCCCCAGATCCCGCTTAAGCGCAATGCATGCCTACGTTGACGAAGGATTGTTATGAAACCGCTTCTCTGAACTTTATTCCATGAAAGTGTCTCTGTTTGTACAGAGTAGCCATGTCGAGAAAGTTGTCAACAGGAGGACGGCATCGTCCACACAAAGTCGTGCCATCACGCATGCACTCCGGTTCACTCTTCCGAGTTGTCCCGTGTCCTGTCCGACAATGTGACTGACTGAGTCCCACGGCAATGAACCGCACAGCCTTTTCAGGGAGAGCAGGGCAATCAGCCCTTCGAAGTGGACTACAGACGACACACCCTGTTCACCCATATAGTATCAGGGTTTTCATCACTTACTTGCCATCGCGCGTCTCCTACCTGCAACTCGTGCGCATTTCCAACGTCCTGTGGCGGCCTGTCTGAGGCTAGACCTGGGTGGGAGAAGTCGTCGACCCCGAACCCTCCGTCAATTCCATCCCCAGGACTGTCAGTATGACGTGGACCGACCCATGCGACATTGAGGTAGGAGTCCTGGTGCAGGATAGCTCAACGCCACCGGCTGCGATAAATTCCCGAGCGGAACGGGCTCGATGCTAGTACCCGACTGCACGGCCTTGGGCAACTGTATTCTATTGCCACAGGCTAGTAGGCGTCGTACGTGGTGTACGAAGTGGGCACGCACGTATGAACCTTACATGGCGGCTATCTCTGGTCCATCCTACGTGCTACAATCCGTACCGAGCATAACCTGGGTAGAATTGCAAGGTTTCCGCAGTTCCCTGTGTCTGATGTCGCCGCCGTGTGTTTCTGGACTGTTCGATTTCGATGCGTCCTCAGACTTTCCTCCTGAAGCTCGTGTCACGAAACTCAGACGGCAGTACCTCTATCGTCACATCCGTACCGTGCTCCGCCGGATCCAGCAACGAAATTTGCATGGTGGAGGTGAGTGGGTTGTCGCTGCTTGGACTTGGAGTTCTTCAGCGCAGAAATGTGCTTTTCTATACACGTGGACCCGAGTTTGGCCACGACTTGAACGGAGCAGTGAAATGTGGCCGTCTCACTTGTTCGTGATGTTGAGGGCGATAAACAAGACCAGTGCAGGTGCGTCAGTGTGCATGCCGTAGTTTCGGAGCGGCCGTTGCCAGAGTTGCGGCGCCCGATGTTCTGCTAAACGAAACTAGAAGGGATGAAACGATTCCAACTTGGGTTCTTGCGTTAATATCATGGATTGCGACTATTGGAACAAACGTCCGTGGCAGTTGAACGTGAGTGGCAGGTTGAACGTCCTTACGTATGCATAAGCGGAGACTGCTGCCCTCTTGCTCGTATGCAACGCGCACAGCTCGAAAAGTTCTTCTACGACGAAAGCGACGCTGTGGACACCGCACAATCCTCTTCGTCAAGCTCAACTTCGAATTACCAAGGCTCTCGGATGCTAAAGGTGAGTTGAGACAATGCTAGGAAAGATAAAGGTTTGTCTTCCGATACCTCATGGGCATCACAAGCCTGTAAGTCCTTCTTGGTCGTGCGCATCAGGTGAAGATCGTACGAAACCATACACAGTGAGTGCAGTAGTTGAACACGCTATGCGTGTCTTCATCAAACACCCCGGCGAAGTGCTCCTCGAGGGCTTTGCGTGCTGCACCCTTCTAGCCCGCTTCCCACGCTCAAACGCTCGGTTGTTCTTCGCCCTGCTCCGTGTCTACGCGGTGTATCGCCCTCGACGCATCCTTTGCTTTCGTGCCAGGAACGACGTGTGTCGACGACCTACACGAAGGAGGGATCGCGTCGGTCGCAAGACATACCAAGCGATCGCAGCCTGCAGGGCACAACAGTGGTATGCTCTTCAACCCGAGAGCCAAGCGTAGATCAGGAAGAGTCGAAGTGAAGTAGTTTTGTTGACGAAAACCCTATCCCCGCGAGAGATACCGGCAGTTGCTCACGTGGACGCGAAGATCGCCGGAACCTCGAAAGCGGGTGCAGCTGTACGTACGTGTCTGGTAGCAGCCTTTTTCGATAGTCGATCAATACTCGAAAGATGATTCGCTTCACATTCCAAAACCTAACGCGCGACGAAAACGAAACCTACCGCCGGCAGTGCCAAGCCGGCCCGACGTCATAGTGTGTAGTTACGAGCGGAGTGGATGCTCGCCCATTGTTGTACTAGTCAAGAAACGTTGTGTGTGCGTCAATTGTTGCATTAGAAAGCTGGCGATTTGTTTCGCAACACGATGCCGATACCGCTTGGTCAAAGCACACCCACCTGGGAAGAGCGATAAATGTACATTCGAGCTAAACGAACTTCATCGAAGAGCAAGGACAGACCTGGAACGATAAGTAGTGCATCCACTTAACGCCAAGGCGAACATATGCACTCAATAGTGTAGTGATGGCGATCTGTTTTGAGGTCGTTTCGAATTTCTCAAGACCAAGCATGAAAAACCAATATTGAATGTCTTTCAACAACCTCAAAGTCTTGATTTCACGGTTTCAGCTAGCCTCTTCGTGTACTATTCTATCGTGTGTCGTGCCAAACCTGCCCGCGGCATGTCCACCGGTCCCGGTGTGGTGCATTCCTGGTGATCACCACTTTCCACCCGGGTTCGTTCAGACGAATACTGTGTTGTCAAGCTCTTGTCGGGAATTGTTTCCGCTTCAATATTTTTTTCGTGCATGACAGCCACCTTCAGGGTGCGGTGTCGCTCGGCGTTATCTCTCATTTCTCTGATCAAGAACTTGAACTCCCAAATGAACAGAAGAACCCTCAAATATCAATGTTGAGACCCCCCACCTCCCTCCTGTAGCGCTGGTCTTCGACGTTTACGTTGCGGATTGAGGGAAACCGAAGGCACTTCTTCAAAATACGTAACTATTCTCAATACCGTAAGTATACGGGTCTTGGCACGAATCGGCGACACCGCACGGGTCGGGATCTTGGCCCAGCGGGCGCGGAAACAAAACCGGCTTCAAGTTGTATATTTGATTATCACGCAGTTATCATTCACTTCGCACAGGGTGTGCGAAGCCACCCATGCCTTCGGTCATCATGGGCGATGCTTCGAGTGGTTTCCATTCTCTTTTTCGGGAAACTGCTGACAACGGGAGCTTGTAGCATGGGCTCCACTGCCGTACTGTGGCCCCTTGACGTTGCTCATGTGCGAGTGATGTCGTTTTGTATTTCTAGAACATGTCTTCCTGTTCAATATCGCTTTCATTGTCGAAACCGACGGATCGTATCCACCCCATCAACCAAGAACGCGTACAAACCTCACGAGACCAAACTACAGATAGGTAGGAAACCGGGAATCAACACGTATACCTGGGGGGGCTGGCAGGCAACATCGTACATCCCCCGTAGGCCACTACGTTCTTGTTTATTGCTCCAAACCCTCCTATTGGCCAGCCATGTCCCGCCATCCTTTACCGGCGAACACGCGAACATCCGTACTGTTGTCATTCTTTTGCTGCTATCACGGTAGACATGAACGTGTTGTTGTGTGTCCGTTTCAATTGTTCAGGATCACAGATATCGATCGGGGTCTTGGCATGAGAGGGGAGTGTTAAAAAAAAACCACACTGGCTGCGTTGTGCCTATTCAATTCTCACGGATCGGAGTTATTGCACGGGGTGTGCGTTACATGTTCAGGACCAGTAGCTAATTCATTTTCCGCACAGGTACCGGGCACGTATCGACGTCTTGGCACCCCTGTGCGAAAACATCTTAGAACGAAAGCTTTTGAAAAGACGACCGCACAGTGTGCCAAGACCCGCATACATACGGCGGCCGTCAGCTGTGTGATGGAGTTTCTCCGCATCGTCTGTGGCTTGGTCCAACGCCAAACTAGAGTACTCAAGCCATCCGAGGGAAATAGTTCAACTGAGCGTAAGCTTTCCCTGTTGCGCTAACCAGCTTGTCAATTTGACCATGCTCTGTGCTCGCCCCCCATTCGCCTGGGACAAGATCGACGTCTTGATCTTCTATTCCCCGGAGGCCGCCTCCTCAGAGGGCATCTCTGACGCGCAGCTGTTGACCAGGATTGTCGAAGGCATGGTGACTTTAAACCAGGCCATCACCAACTCAGCAATCGCGGATTTAGAGTATCGTCTCGTCCAGGTGGCGGAGGTGAGGGATGTGGCGTGCCGGGGTTCGATTCTCTATTGGTGCGACATGTGGCGATCGATGGTAGGTCATGCGAATGATATTACGAAAACATACTGGCTCGTGCGCTCGCGTGGTTGAGTGGAGGCACTTTTCGTACCGGGACAATATTTAAGCGGTCCGACCACAGGCGAGGGGCCCAAAGCCGTCGGGTACGACACGCGGGGGCACCCTTGCGCAACAAAAATATATGAGGCTACCCGGTCAAATTTGGAGTGACCGCTCAAGAAAGATATCGGAATGCGACCTCGTACTCTTTTTTAACGTTCCGGAATCTCGGCACCTTCCAAAGTCTTGCGGTGGGGTTCTTTCGCTATCACCAAGGCGCGGTTAGTGATTTGCGAAGACAATTATGTGTGCTTACGTGTGAACGTCGATGGCGCTCCCGGCGTTGGCTGCGGGCAGCTACCGTACAGCCAGATGACGTACGACCCCAACGACGACATCGACCTCGAGCCGGAACTTGATGCATTGGCCGCGGACAGCAACGTGGGTGATCTACGCGACCAATACCAAGGGGACCTGGTGCAGCTCGTTGGATACTTCCCGGGAACGTGTGGACTAGGGTAAGCACTGCATGACGCCGGATGCGATGATCCAGTTCGAGGGCGTTGTATAGCATGCGGTGATATTTAACTGGGTCACAATTGGATTGTAATTTAGGTACTGTGGCGCGTGTGTGATTGCACACATTGTAGTTTCCTGGGCGTCCCTACGGTTGCGCCAACATCGGGCGACTTCGCGTGTAAGGCAACCACCATCGCGAGGGCTCGCGATCATTTGTTTTCCGAAGCACGGCAAGTGCTCCCAGACTCCTATACCTAATGCACTTAACCGTAAGCACGATGGTGGTGTCGTCGTTTCACGCGACATGGAAAAGTCTGTCTATGGTCGGGCTCAACACCTTCCGCGCGCCCAACTGACCTGTCTGTGCTGTTTTTTTAGGTATGTCTTCAACGGTAACGCTAAGTTCGGCTTCTCCCTCGTGGGCTCAAACTGCTTCGACAATTTCTCACACACCCACGAGATAGCTCACAACATGGGGTGCTACCACGACAGACTCAACTCCGACACGCAGGATGCCTACCGCCACGGGTACCGGTACTGCACGGGCACCGATCCGTGAGTAGGTGTCACACCATGTTGGCGGGGTCCGCAGGAAAATCCCTCCCGACGGGGCGTGCAAAGAACAGAGAACGTACTTCTTAGACACGTTCGTAGAGTCGTAATCTCCGAACTGGCTTTATACTTGCTAGAATCGAGAACTGGACTAGCCCTGAGTTTCGGGCGACGCTCAGATGCGCAAGATCACGATAGTAAACACTTGCACAACGGAGAACAATTCCTGGGAAATATCTTCTCGCACGGTGTCACGTTCTCGGCAATGTAGTAAGTTTCGATACGCCCTCCAAAATGTTGGAGGGTTCTTTTTGGTCCTTGTCTCCACGAAACGACACAAGGAAACCTGAGGTGGGGGGGGGGGCTCCCTGCACCCGCGAGCGCCCGTCGTCTCTCGATCCACGGCCCTCATACCGTAGGACGCACCTCGAGAGAAATGGCATTGCAGCACGACGCTAAAGCGCTCACAGAGCATAGACGATAAAGGCTTTTGCACACCACAGGGGGGATATCTCAAATATTCGATTTTGAATCGGGTGGAGAAAGCCTTGTCGTTCCATACGTATTTATACAAATGTATTTTCACTTCGGATGTGTACCCAGCGCTTGTTCTGGTACAGGTCGCCGCTTTGCAGGTGTTCCACACTAGTCACAAGAAGTAAAAGGACGACAAACACTGATGGGCTGCGGGGAAATCCAATGGCCTGGCTTGGAGAACATCCATTGCATCATCGGTAGACCCTTGTATTGGACGTGCACTGAACACCTTCATTTCCTCCGCGATCGTTCGTCATGAACGAACCACCCTGGGTGTGGTGCCCACAGCTACCGCACCATCATGTCTTACTACCAAAACGGTTGCGGTGGAGACCCGACGCCACAGGCAGACCCCATCGTGCCACGGGTAAACTACTTCTCCAATCCAGACGTAACCTACCTTAACAAGGCCACGGGCACCGACGATGAAGACAACGCTAGGTGCATCGAGGAGAGCATGGTGAGAGTGGGACAGGCGATTCATTAGCTCTACCCACATTTCGTCAGCTGCGGCAGCAGAATCGTGCCGGTTGTAGGCGATGTGTCCTTTTGAGGTGCTACAAAGAAGTGGGACGATTGGAGGCCATGAAAAATTCCCGCTCTCTCGGTGGTAGAAGCAGAGAGAGAGAGAGAGAGAGGGTTAATATCGCCACGAAACGCGCTTCTTTGCAGGCGTGGAGTTATTTTCCACGCATTTTCAAGCGACCAGGACCGAAGTACGTCGTATAAGCGGTGGACTGAGGCAGATATACGTTGACTGGATTCTACATGTACGCTGCTCTTTCGAGGGATGCCTCTCCACCGACAAATAAAAAACCGAAAGGAGTTCTCCGGGGAAACTTTCATTCGACCTCCGTTGATGCGTATAGTGGTAAAAGAAGATCAACACAAGTGCTTGCCGTTCCGATGATGAGAGTCCCAAGATCAAATCTAGCTTTGAGATCTCCGTGTGCGAGATCTGCATGAACCTGTACTACTCTTCGCCTGGCACATTGTGTTGAATGTCCTGTGAAAGTGCTAAGCAGACAACACCGGTTATCGTTTTTGAGGCAAAATTTTTCTGTTGTCTATTGGGGCCGACCCCACGCGAAGCTAGCGCTGGAATAGGCGAGTTCATGCCGAGGCGAAGGCTACTCGTGACCTGTAGCGCCGCCGCCACCGGATTTCGAAATTAATCACCGCTTGCCGTAAATGACGTGATCGGAACTTTCCTCTGATTTGACGGTGTGAGGCTTCT